GCTGTCGCGTCTGTCGCCTTCCGGGAAAGCGGCAGCCTCGCTCCCAGCGCGCCGCCTGCCGGCGGGCGCGACAGAAGATTTGGCGCCCTCTCGTGGCGAGGAACTTTATTCCAGAGAGAATCACAGCCCCCGGACTGGGCGGCCGTGTCAGGGGGCCTGAGAGAAGACCGGGGCAGCCCCTGAGCATCTCTGTGCCCTTTGGGGTGGCGGGTGCTCAAGGGGAACGGCCATCGCAGCCCTCGTCTGCAGATCAGTACTCTTCCAGAAAGCACTTTGGCTCTCTGTGATTACAAGGGAAACTTTAAGTAAACAAGTGTGTAATTTGATTAAGTGGCTGCCCTCGACCCCGCCCGGTGGCCCTCGCCTGTAATCTTAGCTCTCTGGGATGCGAGGAATACAGGGCAAATAATATGTCACTGCCGTCCGGCTAGACGTCAGATATGCCGAGTTCATGCTGCCCAACATCAAAGAATGAACTCTAAGGAACAATTGAGGTTAAAAGTAGGAAAAATTCATTGAAAGAGATAGTCCTGAGAGACAGGAGGGGATCTGAAAGTGGTTTGCCAACAAGCCCGCGTCTCTAAGGACGTTTTATAGCAAAATCACGAGGTGGGTACAACGTGGGTCAAAACAGTGATCAACCGATAAAATCACAAGTGTAGCCGCTTAGGACATATTGATCCACCGGGGAAGCAGGTCATGTAGCAAGTGTGAATGGAAAGAACAAAGACATTTTTAGTAAGAACTGGATTAGGAGGTCTTGGCCACCCACTTGGGTGACTGATGTCTGTCTAGACTTTACTGGACCAGGTGATACTGAGTATCTTTTTCCCCGGGAGGCATGTATGCCCCTTCATTTCAGCTTTATCTTAATCCTGGCCTCCAACAGATGTGCCTGCAGCCACAGCTGCGATGTGTTCTCATCTTCTGCGCTGACTCCCACAAGGGCCCAGCCCTGTCTGACTGCCTAGAATATTTCTACCTAACTTAGCTGTCTGTAATAATTTGAGAGCTTTCTGTGTACCAGGTGCTGTGTTAAGCACATGGCCTTATGTCACATAGCCCCCTGCAGAGGCCTTGCGCAGTAAATACTGTGACTGCTGTTTCAAGGCTGAGGAGGCACAACGAAGTGATGTAACTTGACAGGGCAGCCCTGGTGAGAAGGGAGGCCAGGCAAGTGATCCTGGCAGGCTGATGTAACCGCTGTCCTCCTTGGCGCTTCACACAGATGTCATGAGCTGGCATAGAGGAGGAGTGGGTAAACCGTCACTGACTGGAATTAGCATACGTCTGTGTGGCACCGAACAAAAGGTGGGTAGCCTGCATGGAACATAATGGGACAGAGGCGAGGCAGGCTTGCCGCTTGCTGCTTCTGCTGCTGCTGCTTGCTGCCTTCCACCTTCCACGCCATGAGCTGTTTCTCCTCCATGATGCCCCATTTGTAATGCCTGCCTACATAGTTGGAGCCAGACAACTATGGACTGAAACCTCTACAAACTGTGAGCCAAATAAACTAAGTTTAACTAACAAGTATCAGGTATTTGGTCCCAGTAAGAAGAAAATAACTAAAAGACATCCTTTCTGTGCCAGCCTCAGGCCCCAGTGGCACAATATAAGCTCTGCTTCCTCTGAGGGCCTGGGGGACAGCTGTGGGCTCATTCATTTATTGCCTGGCCTTCCTCACTCCTGACACTCTCGGACCAGGTTCTTCTAGAAACAGTGTGCTGTCCTGAGCCGACGCCTGGCTGGCGAGGGTGGTCACTGGCCATGTCCTGCAGGTGCCCTGTGAACAGTGTACTGGGTCTGAGGCTGCTGCACTTCCCTAGTGGACTGCTGGGACAGGCCCGACGGGAAGCCCATCATCTACCACGGCTGGACGCGGACCACCAAGATCAAGTTCGATGACGTCGTGCAGGCCATCAGAGACCACGCCTTTGTCACCTCGAGGTCAGTCGGCTGATTTCGGGGTGGTTTGCATTTAAGGGAGAGAAGCTGGGGTTGGACAGATGCCCATCACCTTCCACCTCCCCAAACACTAGAGCCCCCGGCTCCATCTGAGCCAAAGTCATTGCCAAGGGCCAGCAAGAGGCTTTCTGTGGCCTCTGTGGAGTGACAGTGGCCTCTTAAGTGCTCCTGGTAGTGCCCAGCAGAGTGGGTTCTGAGATCCCTCTCTGAGCTGGAACCCAGCTCCGTTAATGACCGGTGCTGTTGTGATGTCTAATTGGGAAGACTTATCTGACGCTCGGCACTGCACCTGGTAGAGGGTAAGTGTGCACTGCGTGAGATCATTATTTTTATTGTCTTTTTTTTTTTTTTTTTTTTTATTTTTTTTTTTTTTTTTTTTTTGGTTTTTTGAGACAGGGTCTCACTATGTAATTGAGACTGACCTGGAACTCACTATGTATCCCAGGCTGGTCTTGAAGT